TNTATNATAATATATATANATANNATAATNTATNTAATATATATATNATANATANTTATATANTAATNNTAATNTATATAATTANATATATANATTTAATTATATATATATATATATATATATATATATATATATATATATATATATATATATATATATATATATATATATATATATATATATATATATATATATATATATATATATATATATATATATATATATATATATATATATATATATATTTATAAACTAATTAGTTATAACTGGTCGCAACGGTGCTTCCGGGTACGTGTCTATGTACCCTTGTGGTGTACCACGATGTCGTTTGTATCGTCAAAGGCCTCTACAGTTTCCTATGTCTGAACCTCTTCACGCCAGCGGACTAGGTATTCGACTTTGCCAGTGCCGACATTTGTCCGACGATTGATAATATGATGGAATGCTGACCTCCCTTCTTACCAGAGATTATCGTTCAACGGTGGTTCTGTACCGCGGTGAACCAGTCGAAGCAATTATACGCGGATGAACTTGCCCTTAAATTCCCAAGAAATGGATCCATCCCATTTTGTGAAGTCATAACCTTGACCGTTGCGGCTTCTGACAACGTATGGGCCAAACAGAGGTCACATGGGCTCGGAGGTACCTCCTTCCGAGTCCACAATTATTACGTCCCCTGTATCAAAGTGTAAAAGATCTGGGGCGTGGAGACGATCGAACCTCTTTTTCAACCCGTCGGGAGGATTGTATCCTATATCTGGTCAAGGCGCTGTGCCCATGTGTCATTGGTGACCGGCTGTTGCTCAGGTATACCGTCAGTAAAGTCAGCACACGGAACCTGTCGACGCCGAAATATACACTAAAATATGCGCTCTTGTGTCGTCGTGTGAAGGGTGAGCGTTCGCCCCATGCCCAGGGTATCGCCTCGCAGCAGAAGTGTATTGACCTTGCTATCTCTTTGTCAGCCAGCTTTCAGTGGCTCTGATAACTTGGGGGTCGATAAGGTGGAGGGATTTTATATGATATCCCAGCCTCCTTGACTGATAGTGCCACCATATTGTTGGTAAACTCATGTCCCAAATCCGTTTGCAGTTTGCGTGGTAACCCATTCGTTCACGTCCGCATCCAGGCTCAACGTGTTGACTCAGCAATTCCAACGCACGATGAGTACGATCTTAAGGTTTACCGGTACATCACGACATTGATGATGTAGTGATCGCCAGCGACAGTTCTGAAGAGCGCATCACTACAGCGAAGGAGGTGGTCCGACGCCTACCATACTATAGTTTCAAACTGAACCAAGCAAAGTGTCACTTTGCGATTGCTGAAGTCATGATTTTGGGCAAGACGGTATCAGCGAAGGGTATTGACGTCGACTTTGAGAAGCATGCTAAAGTCCTGTATTAGCCAACACCTCAACGGTACCTGGACATCGTTTCAGTTTCAGCGCTAGATTTGACAAATTTCTTACAAGGACACTTGCCCAACTTTATACACGTAGTCGCCCCGTTAAGAGAGGTTTGTAAACTTAATCCAAATGAGTCGATAGAGGATCGATAGGGATAGCGCCATTCAGACGCGTGGCAGGCGATGAAGGGTGCCATAGTCAATGCCGTAGCATTTTACTTTCCGGTGGGGGGTGTACCACTCAACCGGTCGCCGGTTCTGATACGTATGCTGTTGGTGACCTTGCGTCTGTGTAGGTACTGTCCGTTGTTCCGACTGCTGTTCGCGGTACTGTCAACCCAAGTCGGATGCACATGGCCAATTATCCTGTTCTCCTTGCGGTGCCGCCCTGTAGCCATGGCATTGTGTAATCTGGCGAATTATAGGAGACGCGTGTGACTGGCAGCCAGTGCACGTTAAACAGAGTAGTCGATTTTGCTGGACGGAAATGCCATTGTTGCTGTTGGCGCTGTACTGTTTATGGGCTTAGGCGGCTGTTCGTTGTTTCTCCACGTGATTTGTTCGTATTGTGCGCCCTCCGATATAATCACCGTTGCTGTGACCAAATCTGTGCCACCTGGATATTCGGACTCAGTATCTGTTATGCCTCAGGTGTCTCCAGCGGTTGCCGCTTCGGGTGTAATCGGAGGGTTTCTTCGTATGTGCGTGAACCTAAGATTTCCTTTAATGACTGAACAATGCAGTGGTTCAACAAGTTCTACGTCGTTTTGGCATTATTCGTGTACTCGGCGATGAATCTGCGTGAGATAAGTCAATTGTCCCATCACCGGAACACTACTGATCTTTAAATGTCCTTTTGCTAGTTTGCGGAAGGTAGGATCTACGGTCGCCTGAAATGCTATACATGGAATTTTCGACCTCGGGTCTTCTTTATCTGATGCCTATTAGCTCATATATCAAGTATAATATATTCATTTATCGACACACCCTGCGTTTGATCAATTAATCGAAGAAGAGTGCCATTGTATGCGTTTGAGCTGTATTCGCCGGGTGGGATATGAGAATATATGCGCCTGGGGACGGTATACAATACCAGGTTGGGCAAGAAGATGTATGTTTTACTAGTAATGTTTTATAGTGTCATTTTCAGCAGCTTGACTGAAGGTCAGTGCCGAAAAGGGGCGACAGAGACCCCTCGTCCACCGACAACAGCGCAGATCGAATAGCAAGCTGGTACAGCGATCATGCGCCTAACATTTGTATCTCTATTGAATATATAAAGTTTGTATTGTCGCGATAACTGAATGCGGGTGGGTGAATGTCTTCAAGTTTGAATACTAATATGGCAGGAGTGAGAGAGTGAGCGGTGCAGTGACGTACCGACCTTTTATCTTATGTACCCGTCGTGACAGGAACTTTACAGTTTTCTCTAGTGAGTGGAAAATAGGCTGGTGCCACAAAGCTGCCACAAGTATGCTTCAAGACGTTGCTTGTACCTACGCTAAAACTTCTTCGAAAGAAAGCCATCTAAGATATCTATAAAAAAAAAGGAAGTATGCATTCCGATAGGCCAGGAGTGAGAAGTGAGCTGTACAGTGGCAGTACCGACCTCTTGTACTATGTACCCTTTGTGACAGGAACTTTACAGTTTTGACTTAAATTTCTCTTAGTGAATGGCAAATAGACTGCAGCCGTAAAGCTGTGATCAGTAGGCTTTAAGACGTTGCTTGAACCCACGATGTAATTCTTCGAAAAAGCTGCTTCAAGGTCAAACCATCACAGCTATCTGAGAA